TTATGAAAGTCGCATCAGTGGATGAAACCTTGAATAACCTAACTGCAGCCCCATGTTTCGGTGGATAACAATATTGATGCTATGCAAAGGGGATGTATTGGTGGCACTGCAAGTTGGCGCACCATTTGTGTTTGTGTGTGTAAGCAGTGATCTGAAGCCGGCAATGACCATGTTTGAGTCCGTAAGATGCCAAGGACTAACCAAAAGGTCCTACTGGGACTTGAACCCAGGTCGGCGGATTCAGAGTCCGCAGTGCTAACCACTACACCATAGAACCGCGGAGGGTAATCACCACGTCAATGCAAACTCCGAAGCTCGTTGGCTTGGCTATCTGTTAGCCTGCTGTCCATCGTATCCTTCGAAGCAGCTGAGGTCAGAAGGGCTCCATGTCACTCTCCATTGTTGCCTCTAGCACTTCGTAGGACACTGCGCTGCCCCGTGGTCTCATAGTGTAGCATGTTAGGGGTTTAACAATCGCCGAACAGCACGCCGAAAATTGCATCTTCGAAGTAACCGAGATGTGACCTGAGATGTGGTGTTGGAGACGTTGCGGACTACCCCATAATCACTCCCAGAGAGGGTAGGCGGATTATTGGCCTAGGGAGTAGGCAAAGCCGCAAATATGGGCTGAGGTAGAATCCCTCGGTGGCTTGTTCTTCTGCGGCATATGGGTGTGCCAGTTCTATTAGGGCGTAGTACTGCGGGAAAACGAGTGACTGGGGGCCTATGAAAACAATGGGTATTCAAAGCTAGTCTACAAACGTATTTAGAGGTTCTGGCTCAGCCCGCGGGTACAAGTGTCCAGCCTGATGCGGGTGGCACGCAAAGCAGGCGCGCAGGTGGACTGAGGCTGGGTCGTTGCTAGGTTAGTTGGGAGGGAGTATTTAATGTATATTTTTGATTGACTGCCTGAAGGCTTAGCAGTAAGCTGAAGTGGTCACACTGACTTCAAGAGGGCAAGAGGGGCTTGCGACGGAAAAAGCACAGCTAGCTGGCGAACGCTGACAAGATAAATGAATATACTGGCGCGCTGCTCCTGAATGTCAACATACGCAGCCCTCTATAACATGGGTGGCGGTAACAACGGCCTCGTCGCTCTAAATGCATGAAATGGCACTGAGGAACCTTCACACATCTTTACAAATTAGACGAACTCGGAGGCCAAGTACCCCCACGCTGGCGGGGAAATCAATGTGCTTACGTCTTCATTCCACTGCTCGCCGAGAGAATTGAAGAGGAGACAAGGAAAACCATAGGTGTTACTCTGTAGGCCCCCACCAACTCTTCCCCTCCTTTCTTCCTCCCAGCCGCAGTCACTCCTTCTACGGTAGCTACGGTAGAAAAATGGAGACAGTTTTCTCAGATGAGGGAGGCAACGGGACTCCAACGCAGTGCCCAGGTGACTGTCTCAAAGAAGCAGCAATTATAGGGGTTTTTCTGCAATTGACACTAAAGGAACAGCTGAGGTTCGCAGCGTTGGAAAACAAGCTCATAAAAGTGTTGACTAAAGAGGCACCAGTTTGAGGTCCGCCCGGTTTATACACACTGCACCGCGCAGAGATCATTTTCTGCGAAGCTCCAAGCTTTGTCCAGAGTTGCGGACGACCTTCGAAACTTGGAACGAAAATCGACCGGCCAGAGACAGTTGCTCACTAAGGGGAGCTCAGAGTCCACTAGGTTCTTTCGGCAGCAAGCCTATAGAGGGAAGGCTGACACCGGAATTTTTCTACTGGAGATTCCCCACGCCAGCTGACTTCAAGCAATCAAAGTGGCTATGAGAGTATCAGTCGTTCAGGACGCTCAGGGAGTTCGTGAAGAGAACCGTTTAAAGAAAGATGTTTTATGTCTTCACTCTTCAAAAGCTACGGTGGTCTTGCTTCTTCTGCGGTCGTTGCTGCTGTTGCTATGTGTTTTGGGGGACATTACTACATAGCGCTCCTGCTTGTGCAACAATTGCATTTGAGCTGAGCCAGCAAAACGATGCGTGCGCTGGGTGGGAGTCTGTTCATATGCTGTGCAAAGAGGTCAAGACGAAGAATAAGCTTCCGAAGCTCCAAAGCGATGGGCTGAATGACCGCCTGCAGGGTGTGCCAAACGGCGGTGCGGCTCATTCCCTCACGTACAGCAAGAGCATATGCGCTTGGCCTCTGTGCACGTGAATTCGCTTCCTGAACTGTGGTGACAGGCTTGCCGCTTGGAAAGCGGCAAGCCAC